CCCCCCCTTTCACGCTTGTCTGTCCTATTACAATAAAGGCTAAAAATGCCCCCCAAAAATATCTTTAAAAAAAAAGAATACACCTGTAAACTCTGACCAATCAGAGCATAATAAGTTTTTTGGCTCCAGGTGTTCATCACAGAATGAGAAATATGACGTGTGTTTGAACATGTTAATAGAAACTTTAAACACAATCAGAATGAGCTGAGGACTTCCTCTGTAATTACAGTTTCATAGTGTGATGTCATGGTGCATTTCAGTACATCATGAAATCAGACAACAACAATGAGAAAAAGTGCATTTATTAATTAATTTTCTCAGGCAGGCATCTGATTGGAGGCTGAACACTGGCTCCTCCCTCAGCTGTAACAAACGACAGCCAATAGGCTCCGCCCCTCCCCCGTCTGTCAAACTCTGTACAAGCACCGCCCCCTCCACTGCTCAAAAAACAACAACAAAAGAAACGGCTCTCTGCCCTACTGAAACGTTCATCAGATAAAAACCAACAAACACTCGATAAAACAAACACACGGGTAACAAAACGCTCCTTCAGGCCCCGCCCCCGCGGCATGGCGTCACCCTCTCTCATTGGCCCGCCTGGATGATTGGCATGTGAGGAGGCGTGGCCTGCACAGCCTTTCCTCTCCAATGAGGGGGAGGGGGCGGGGCTAGTCCGAGTCTGAGTCACTAGATTCCTCTGAGGAGGTCTGATCTTCATCGTCCTCGTCATCCTCGTCCTCATCGTCATTCTGACAAAAAGACAAAAAAAAAAATCTTCCCTTTAATAATGTGTTAATAATCACCTGATACAGTTTTAAGTGTTTCTTTATCAGTTAAGGGTTTTCGTAAGCAGTGAAGACCTACACACGTGTATAAAATAAAGAACCTGAGTTTTTCCATCACGTTTTAGTTTAAGGGAAAATTCAGGGATGGAACACAAAACCCTTAAAAAACATTAAAAAACATTGTATAATAATCCATTAAGTTTTTTACATATCAGATTTGTAGTGAATCCCTTAAGTGAAAAATTAAGGTACTTTTAAGGAATCAGTCTTTCATGCCTGATTCATTTTAAGACCTTTGCTGTCAAAACCCTTTAAAATTAAAATAAGTCCATTAAGATATTCTAGATAGATAGATAGACAGATAGATAGATAGATTCATTTATCCCCTAACTAACCCTTAATTTGGGGTCGTTTTAAAGGGATTAATTAAATGCTCCCTGAAATCCTTCAGTTTTTGTTTTGTGTTCTCACCTCATCATCCTCATCGTCGCTGTCGGTGCTTCCTGAAGTCTCATCGTCTTCGTCAGAATCAGACGAGTCACTCTTCTCCTCGTCTGAGTCGGTCATGTCCTGCTGGAAGACAGACACAGACCTGACAGACCGCACTGAGGGTTCAAAATGTCCACTCCACAAAATAAAAAGAAAACTGAAACCACATAATAAAATGAGATTTATTTTACAGTGTGTAGTTGTGTAGTCATGGTTGTGTAGTGTATTACCTTGGCTCTGTAGGCCATGGCTCTCTTGTTCACGCCGACTGTTTGCGTGGTGGCTCTTGAACTGGCCGCCTTCTTCGCCGTCACACGGACTTTAGCTCCAGGACTGCTGCGAACTTTTGTGGTGCTGCGACGTTTCTGATGAAGCACCAACAAACAAACAAACAACATGTTTAAACGCTGAAACAAACAATAACCTGCAAGGTGCGTTAGTTTCCTGCTGTTAGTCACTAACAGATCATAATGCTAAACATTAGCTTAAAGACAAAACAAGTTTTCTTTATTTTATAGTTTGAGTGTTTTTATATAAAAAATAATTAATAAAAAGAATTTGATGTGTCGTTTGTTCCTGTTAGCTTATGCTGGATTAGTCTTATTTAACCGCGCCTAAATTTAACTTAAAAATCTAAAAAAACAAACATCAATCTAGTGAGTTAACTTTAGCTTAGCTCTGCTAATGGCTAACACTACCAAAGTCATGTTAGCTTTGTTCCTGTTAGCTTATGATGGATTAGCTGTAGTTTAGCCCCGCTAAATTTAACTTCAAATTTAAAAAAAAAAGAAAAAAAAAACATGTATCTAGTAAGTGAAAATTAGTTTATTCCGGCTAACGGCTAATGACTCATTGGTATACACTGGATAATGGGTACAGCTGAGCAGAAAAGCAAAATAATCTTTAAAATCTGGAAAGAAGCACCAAAATTTGACTGAGTTTTCCTCTTGGGTCATTCTTTTGAAAAATCCCATTAGCCACGTAAATTTCAAAATGGCTGCCATTTTTAAAGATGGCCGCCATTTCAACCATCTTTTATGACAGAACTTCATTTTCTGGGCCAATTTCAATGATTCTGGTGTCAAATTATAAGTTTTTAACTATGGAAAATTCAAATTTATACATCAGACATCCTTTTTATATCTCTTTATGCCATTTACTCAAAATATGCATAAACACAACATCATTCCAGCAAAACGTTTATTAGCAATGTACAAAAACGGTTAATTGATTTGCTCATGAGAAGCTGAAGATCCTTTGCTTACTACTGTACATGTCATTTGTACAGCATAAAACATACAAAATGTAAAATGCAATTACGTGTAACCTGAACATTTTAGAATCAATGTACATTTTTCATATCAAATTCATCTGTAATGTCAATAACCTTAACATTCTAGACTCAACATTTGTGTTAGAGTATAACTAAACTATGCTCTAACTAACCTATGAAACAGAGCCTAATCTTCACATCTGCAGCTACACAGTGCTGTGCAAGCAAGACCAAAGCGGTAGCATTTGCACCTTCCACGACATTCAAATTTGCAACCACACTTGGTCAGTTCTTGGCAACTTTCTGCAATAGGGGGAGATCAGTCCACAAGAGCTGCCACAGATCACCTTTCTTGGTCCATCCCCAGTCAGCAGGACTTTGTGCTTCTGGTTGACAAACTACTGACTGACCCCACATGCATCCTGCCTGGTAGGTAGCATGCTTTACATGCTGGAGTAGAGCACCTCGAGTAGGAGGGATGGCTTAGGGTTAGGGTTATAAACTAATTTAAAAACAGTGTGTGGGTCAACTTACCCACTGGCTCATCTTAAGCCACTCTGCCCTACGCCATGTGTAGCAGCCCAGAGATCAGTAAGCATAATATTTTCTTTCAATGGCTGAAATATGGTAGAAGGAAGCTTCTTGGCCTCTCCAATACAATAATCTGTCCTCTCTGTGGTCAAAAATGTATGATTAGATATCAAGATTATACTTATTGGACAATTTTACACAAAGTTGCTCCCAAAATAGCATTTCTGGGATTGAATTGGCGGCCATCTTGGAAAAAATGGTGGCCATCTTGATTTTTGCGTGGCTAATGGATTTTATCAAATGAACAGCCCCCAAGGAGTATTAGTGCCAATTTTGGTGCTTCTTTCCGCTTGTGAAAGATTTTACTGAAAAAATGCAATTAGCTGGTTAGCTATAGATAAACACTACTAACGTTAGCTCAGGTCCTGTTAGCTTATGATGGATTTCTGACATTACACTAATATAACTACCACTAAATAAACACAAGCTAACGTGGTATTGTTCATGTATATCAGTGCAGTCGTTGTGCAGCTGTACGAATTTAATAAACTGAACTCTTTATTGTGTTTTTTTCTGTTTTATATTCAGGATGTTTTTTATGTCTCAGCACTAAAACAAATTCCCTGAATGTAAAAAACCTAAACTGTTAATGAACCGACTGTGATTAGCATCAACATCATGTTAGCTCAGTGTCCATGTATTCTGCTGCTAGCTTCGCTAACGTTAGCTGCAGTTCATGGGACAGAGAGAAGAATAAAAACACGGACTCTAGACTG